TACTAACTGCTCATGACTTTTGCAAAGAAACCCCACATGACAAGACATGAACTCCTCCTTCAACAGAATCAAAAGGTGGAAGATGTTTTTTAGCTTCAACAGAATCAAAAGGTGGAAGATGTTTTTTAGCTTCAACAGAATCAAAAGGTGGAAGATGTTTTTTAGCTTCAACAGAATCAAATATTCAGCGTTTGTTCAATAACTGGTGTGTCTGTTCCTAATTTACTGCTGTTATCAGACAAATGTTGACACGTGCTGCTCTGACATCCACAAAACAAAATGTATAAATAAGAAGAAGCCGACAGTGATGCTAAAACAGACACAACTAAACTAATTCTGTTTTTCCACAACTAACAGCCATGAGTGGTGCAAAGCCACGGGGCTGTGTAGGTGAGCTGAGGCGTGTCGGAGTGAACGTCTTCACTGAAGGCTTCTTTCAAAAGACGAGTCCACGCTGCACAGCTCCGGTGTGCAAACAAGAGGATTTTAGCCCATTTTGCTCATGCCAGTCTAATCCGCCACGCTCTCACTCATCTTCTGTGAGTGTACACAAAAATACAACAATTGTGGAGCCTGGAGGCTCGTCTCAGCGGTGAGGTCATCCGGCGGTCAGCGATGGCAGCACAAACACAACGAGCGGGACTTTGAGGAATCAGCTTCAAACCTTGGAGTGTGTGTCTGACACAAATCTAACCCGAGTGGTCCTGCACCAAAACAGCTCAATAAAACCTTCACTGGACTCCTTCAAACTCTCTTAGAGGGCTTGAAGACTAACGGCATGATGATGAATTAGCCTGTTCTCCTGCAGCCCAGAAAAGAAGCTTTGAGAAGACAGCATGCACAAAGACACTTCAGGGGCTTGGAACAGAAACCAAGAACTGCAGGCGCTGGTTCTGGTCCAACTCGCTGCAAAGCATCCATCATTATAATCAGCAGAGCTAACTCCTTACACATCAACGCTCCTTTGGCTGCCATCTACAGGATTTGGACCGGCCGAGTTATCTGGAAAACAAGCAGAGGAGCGGTCTCCATGATGGAACCTTCACAGGTTCTCCCAACCCAACAAGCTCCTCTGAGCTCTGAGACTTCACGGTGACTCCATGACCAGTGAAGGAGAGCTCCACTGTTTCTGTGAGCGAGGGTCGACCATGAAGCAGGACTGAACGACGCAGCACAAACTGTTCATTAAACATTTGAAACGCTCGTCTTAAGATGGAGGAGCGCAGCAGCTTCTGACTGCTCACACAAAACCTCTTCTCTAAACGCTACAAGTGTTTTAACACCAACTCTTGTTAGAATCTAAACAGACAAAATGTCAAAGTTTTGAGAATAAACTATAAAAAGTCAAGAGAATCCAGAGCTAAAGCTGCTGTCACACACAAGAGGCAGGCAGAAATCCAGACTGAAAAGTAAGCCTGAGGCAAACTGTCACAAAATGTGACCTGAAGAAGAGTTAGAAACACACGACAACTTTGATGTTGCTACAGTTTTCTGTAAGAGACGAGGAACACAGAACTTCTGAGCTCACATATGAACGACTGGTTGTGAGAGCGTTACAGCTGAACGTCCTTTCACAATAAAAGACACGGCATGAAAGAAGGCATTGAAATCATGTACAAGAGCACATCTCATAGAAACGTGTGTTTTGATCAACTGTGACATCATCACACTTTGAATTCAACACTTTTTAGTAATATCTTCATCTAATCATAAAGATGAAACTTTGTGTAAAAACCATTAAACATGTCAAAAATTACCAGTAGAGTCATGTAAAGTCCAACTTCCTGTGAGCCGTTGGGTCCAGGCACAGTTCACAGCAGAAACATCCTCAAAGGGTCCACGATTAGTTGAACATGTTGCTCCAAACATGTTGTATTTTTCATTTTAACTTAAAAATTATATTGTTTGTGATACGTGAAAACTCAGAATTACTTCAAAAACATATCTTTTGTTATATTTTTCACCCATGGAGGCGCCATTTTTTCACCTGTGCAATGCATGCTGGGTTGACGACACGGTTAGGTCCATTCTGATCTGGAATGTACACATGACTCTAACATAGTTGTGTTTATGACATGGTGTTTGTAACGTTAGATGAGGCCTCACTGCGTCGCAGTCGGCTGCATGCTCAAACAGAAAAAGGCAGAACCAGTGAGGTGAGCGTGCACAGCTTCACACGTGAATAAAAAAGAAGAGCGCAATGGGAAGAAGTCGTCAAAACAATGAAACTTGTGAAGGACCCACATTTGTGCTCTCAGCACTTCTCTCCAGAAGACTTTGGAGGAGCAGGCAGGTGGTCGTTACCAACGAAAGCTAAAATCAAACGCCGAGCCGAACAGTTTTAACCGAAGCGCCTAAACCCCGCCGCCGGCTAGAGAGCGAAGGATGCTGGGAAAAGAATCAGAGACAGGCAACGCTGGAAGCTCTTCTATTCCCACTGCTGCTGGTACCAAATGTAAAATCATGGATCTGACACCAGACCCTGTACAGGTGCTACCAGAGCTGACAGAAGACACAGAGCACGTCATCTTCTCACTGGATCACAGTGTGACCAGAGGGTCGTGTTCATTCATCATTTCATTCACCAAGCTGAAGCTTGCTTCAGATTTTGGAAATGGCTAAAGGGCGATTCCACCTAATTTTTCACTCACTTGTGTCTTTAATCTGTTCTCGTTTAAGTGACCGAAATGATCATGTTTTAAAAAAGGAAGAAACATTTCAAATGATTCAAAATGTCTTTTGTTGCAGTGAGAGAGAGGAGCTTCTCGTGCAGCTGAGCGCAGAAATAGACGTTCAAATCTCTAGAATTAAAAAAAGCTGTTCAATAATGTTTACAAATTTGAAGTTTTGCATTTATAATTGTTTTTAACCGAGGCTTGTTTTATTGTGGAGACCCAGAACCCACACACAAACACACACTTGCTTATTTTGACTTTTAATTCTGCCCAAATTATTCAAAAGTGTTGAAATCGCCCTTTATTGAAGTTTCACAAATAAGATAACGGATTGACAAATCACAGAGTAGGTTTTAGTTAATCTGCTATTAGTGTGGAATAATCTAGTCCAGGTTAAGTATTTTAGTCTTCAAACGAGAACAGATTAAAGATGCTCATGGTAGTGAAAAGTTAGCCATTTCCCAAATCGAATGCTGCAATCAGAAGCCAACTTCAGCTTCATGTTTAAATTATTATTATTGTTCATTTTATTTCACAATTTTAAGATAGCAATGTTGTATGTATATTAATAATACAAGAATCGTTATCACAGTTTTCTTCAACTACAAATGATGAAACACAAACTACTGTCAGCACATGAGATGTAGCAGTAGAGTGGGCTACAGAGAAGATGTATTTTATCCAATAACAATGGAGCACATTTATACCGACGGCTCACTGGAAAATCAAGATGTTTACTCCTCCTTCATTTCCCCTTGTGAGTTCTACATTGACATGGATTTCAACGAGCTCCGGTTCAAACTGAAAAGGAGTAACATTACTCATAGCTGTTGTGGCTGGACGGAGCTAGCAATACATCATTTACCCAGAATGCATTACAGCGTAAACAACATGGCAACGTCCATGTGAAAATATTTTATTTACATTTATAAAAACTAAACAGCCTACAATATTTTTACTGTATTGTTTTTACATCTAAAATAAATATTTCTCAAATAAAGTCTATTATCACAACTAATCATGGATCCCTTTAAAGAGGGCTGAGGTTGAACAGCCCATCGTTTACATCAGGGAGATTCAACTGGTGGCCCGCGGGCCCTGACTTTAATCCGGCCTCCTTCATTAAAATAAAATGTATATATATATATATATATACATATACATATACATATATATACATATACATATATATATGTATATATATGTATATGTATATATATA